CAGACTATCCAGTAATATTTCCATAAAAAAACAAATGATCATTTTTGTGTCAAAGCTCACATTTATTAGTAATATTGGTGACTTGATGCCATAAAATTGCTTCACTTTGATATGTCGCAGGCGGGAAAAAATGGTAAATATGGGCCAAAACTAAATCCTCTAAGCACTCCAGATTGACATAAGATGCTACTCCTGCCCCATGATTTTCTTCTCTTTCCAATTTGGGTCAGCCAAATATTCTGTTCCACTTTCCTTTTAACGAAAAGATTTTTTGGTTGAAATTGTTTTTCTATACTCTACAAAAATTCTAGCCATGCAATTATTATCGGACAAGTTTCAAAACAGGAATGTCATTAATTATTATTGGACAGAGAACAATAATCAAGAGAACCCTTTGGAAATTTTTCTCCTATAGTCTAAAGGCAAACACAAGTTTTTGGTAATCAAGTACCAACACCAAAAGCATAGCAAACACTATATAGAGATATAGAAATGGAACAAAGGCTTAAAAAAGTATCAGAACATCACAAACCTCACCACGGATGAGATCGTCAATTTTCAGTCTCCCTTCACTGGGTACTCTAAACCTATATGTATACGGGGTCCCCTTTTCCAATTCTTCTTGCACTTCCTCCTCAGTTGCTCTTGCCCATTTTCCTGTATAAACTGGAGGCAGCTGCTTCAGTTTTGCAATCTCTTTCATTTTCTCTAGTTCCTATTACATTTATTCATATAAGTGAATAGGGTGGCATGCAAAAAGAAAGAGCAATAATGAAATTTTAAGATTAATATATGGAGAAACTTCGTGAGATCGATCCGAACAAAAAAACAAGATAAAACTAGTGACTCTGTAAGTAGCTTACTATGGAGGATCTTAAGCAATAAATTTGGAAAACCCGATGTGGTGAATACACTATCCTATTCGGCATCCCAGTCATTAAAATGAGCCAAAAACCCAAGTGTTATCACCTCACTAGAGCAGAAACATCGATAAACATGACCAGATTGTAAAAGTTTTTCAGCATATTCCTTGTAAAGTGCATTCCTCTCGGACTGCCTGTATGGTCCATAGTTTCCACCAATTCCAGGACCTGCACCACACCACAATATAATATAAATACCATGCAGTGGAAAACTGTATAACAGATTGGAAAAGGTCTGACACAGAAAGCAGAAAATAAAAAGAACATATTATTTATAAAATCAAAAACAAAACAAAATATGGTCCAGAAAACCAACAAAAAGCATCTCTACAGTACTTATCCTATTGACCAAAGGTAATGGTTTAAAAAGGTTAGACAAGAACCACTTTTGCTTCAAAACAAGAACAGTTCCAATTTTGCAGTTTGAACTTGAATACTTATAATGAAATTGAACTTGCAGATTATTATAAGCAACTGAGTTTCAACATAAGAATAGACACCTTGAGGGAGTAAGACAACAAACCTTCATCCCAGCTGAGACCAAGCCAAGAAAGATCAGAAAGCATGGCTTCCTCCGATTCTTTTGTTGATCTTTCCAAGTCAGTGTCTTCAATTCGAAGAATAAACTTTCCACCATTGGACCTGCCACAATAGCACTATTAAAATTTACAACGAAATATCCATTTCCTAACATATATGGTTCTTGCTGATCTTCTCAATATCTTCTTTTCTACATCATATGGAAAAAAAAGAAAGAAAATAGACCTTGCAAACAGGTAATTGAATAGGGCAGTTCGGGCTCCTCCAACATGAAGATTGCCTGTAGGGGATGGTGCAAAACGAACCCGCACTTCTTCTCCATGTGGATTCTTTCGAAGAGGGTAGGATTTAATAGCTGAACAGGAAATTGAGAATGTTCTCTTTGGAAAATAGTTACTCTGCTGGTTCTTTCGAACTCCATCTCTGCAATAAAGGCATGATGATTGCGGAAGCAGTGGAAGAGACACCCTCTTGGGGATTAAGCTCATTCTTACCCTAGGAAGCATCATGGACACAGACTGTAGAAAGATGTGAAGAGCTTAATAAATTGGACAAGAACACTACAAAGTATGATCCACTGCACAAAAACACTATAAAGTTACAAAATTGACCAAAATAAAACAAATTATCCTCTTTCTAAATCCCCCCAATTACGCAATTTTCTTTAAAAAAAATCCAAATACTACCCGTTTGCCACCCACCCATTCTTCCATCATTTTCTTAACTCCTTTTAATCAAAGATTCAACCTTTCTCTTTCTTTCTAAATTTCAGCACTTACTCTAGAGCTTTCAAAAAAGATATACCTGTTGAAGAAGAGGACGGAGGTGGACGAATTGATGCGGGAAAAAAAGCACTGTGTAGAATTAGAATAGGAAGAACCATGGATGCCATTGCTCTGCTACCCCCAGTCGCGCTTGGGCTCCAGTCCAATTGTACACAGTGTGGTGGGCTCCATATGTTGACTGGCCCGAATTAGATCCAATAATTTTTCGCTCCGGTCCAAATTGATTTTCAAACTTGGGGAAGGCACACAAAAGAAATGTGTAGAATGAAATTGATTTTTGGCATTTCTTTTTTCCAATTAAAATGGAAAGAAAATTATTCTTGTATTTTTAATTTATATTTCTATCATCCCGTTTTTTTCCTTTTTCTTTCTAACCATACATCAAAAAAAACATTTTATTATCCTTTTTTCTTTCTTTTTATCTTCCAAATATAATGACTCGAGCAAAGAGTAAATAAATTTTCTTTTATCTTTTCACAAACTCCAACCTTCATTTTTTACTATAAATATTCTTTACATTAGTAAAGATTATGATAAGATGACAACTATAATATACTATGATTGCTTTCGCATAATACTCAGTAAATTAATGTTATTTGGGAAGTATTAGATGTCAAATTTCGCTAGTTTTGAATTTAAAATTGTATTAGTAAATTTACGGAGTTTTTGAATCTAAAGATGTACAGAGTACTACGAAATAAGGAGTATATTTTTTTGTTTATGAAAATGTTTTCCGAGACAACTGAATATTAAAAAATCTCAACAATAAAATTCTTAAATGAAATAGAGAGAATAGACTCTCTAGTTTTGAAAGGCAATTTATTGATTGTAATACTCTCCGAACCTTTGTCTACCACCCTTGTCATGTCCTTCATAATCCCGTAAATACAATTCACTAATTTCAGAGATTGTTAAAGAATGAACCCATCTCATTAGGTCCTATCAAAACCAATCGATAGTTCTTTAGAAAAACTAATTGAGCTATTAATCTAAACTCACAAGTAAAGAATAGAAATTCAACCTTACTTCACATTATTCTCTCTCATTGTCTTTGCAAAAGTTTATTCTCCAGTCGTAATAATACTTCTCATTCTTATCTATACCACTATGTGTAGGCACTTACCTATCCTGTACCAGCCCCCCAAGTGATTGGTTAAACAATGCTCTCCCCATCCAAAATTAATTATTCTTTCAAAAAAAACTCATTTTATAAAAATGAGATTAAAATATCAAAATAGTCTTTCAAATATATCAATCATCTAGCCAATAATATCCATACTTAAAATATTTTAGAAGTTCCATCGTAATTTTCTTCTTAAATATCGAAAGTGAACATCTAGTTCTAGATAAACAAAAACAAAAAAGTGGACCACAAAGTCCAAACTTAGCATTAAATATGATTATTTTGACCAATTATGTGTGTCTTACCTACAATTATATTGTATAACTGCAACCCATGAGATCTCCATTAGTCATCTATGGGTGTAGGTTTGTCTTATTGCCATTCATTCCAACTCAACAAGTTAACCAATAAAATGACGCCTAACATTTGAAAATAAGAGCAGTGGACATGGGTATAACGCCGGGGGGCTTCATCCGATGTTTAACGCTGGAGCAGCGTTAGATACCACCCCCTTGCATTATTCGGGTGTCACTTGTGCGTCAAATGTTTAATGCAGAATGGAGTAGAGGGATTAAGCCGTTGGCCCAAATGGCTATAATGTCGTTGGGCATTATTTTATTAAAAAAATATTTTCAATACTACAAATATCCTTTGATTTTAACACAACAAACACACACAACCATGACATCAGCATTTAAATCGTGATCGAGCGACTGCACACTGTTCACTACTCAACGACTATTTCACTACTCCGTGGGTTTATACACTAGAAGATTTTAGTAATCGTTTTCGGATGAGTCGTTCTCACTTTTTACGCATACTCGCCAATATTGAATAGGGGCACCTTAGTTCACCCAACGCTTCTATGCAAGAGAAAAGCACGATTTTAGCAACGTCCAGAAGTGCCATCAAGAAATTCGAAGTTGAGAGATTCACAATACACTAACGCCGGGTTTGATTGAAAATATTTTTAGTTGTTCGGATAATACTAATTTCTTCGTAATGTAATATAATTATTATTTTTTTATTTATGTTGTTATTATCCAAATCTTATTTTATTATTGTAATTTTTAATTGATTGTGTTTTTTATTTAATAAATTATTGTCGTTTAAATTCACTTGAAGCCCCAACTTGAAGCCTCGGGGCTTCAAACCCACTTCTAATAAAATTTTATTGGAAGTTAAACTTAATGTGACAGAGAGAAGTTTTGAGGCCCCAATTTGAAGCGTCGGGGCTTCACGACAACTTCCAGTGATCTAATCTTTATGACTGGGCCCTACGATATGCTATTGAATCGACCCCAATTTTAGAGACAGGTCATGTTACATTCACATCATGGATGACACCAAGATTAGCATTACAACCATGCTAGGGAATATAAAGTGGAGTACAATTTTTTGTGTACAAATAACTTGATTCTTAACATTAATACAAGTAATGACTATGACTTCCCACAGACAATAATGTTACTTTCTAAGCCTAATTATCTATGATTGTGTCCATCTTTATAATCACTCTTAAACATGTCATGCTACAATCACACCACGAACGACACCGAGGTTGACACCGCTAGTGTCTCACTAGACGTGTGTGATTAGCTCAGACAATACATGCCCTAGTGTCATCTTTAGGGGGTTAAAGTAACATTTTCCTTTGCACAAATTGAATACTGCGGATAAAGATTTTCATTACACAAAACTAAAAAAACACAACTAAGGGAGAAAAGGCAAAAACTTGACCCTCAAAAATGGAAAACTACTGATATAATTATCCCCAGCAAATGACAATTGCACCTCTGCTTGTGAAGAAGCACAGGTAGCTGGTGGCAATTAACAACCAAGAATTGCAAATAAAATTAAGATCTCAAACTCGTCTCTTTGAAAAGTATTTGACATTGAACAGTGTCTATTCAATTGGAAATCTTACTTTCCTCCACCTTTAGCATAACTATCTCGCAGTGTGACCGTTCGGTTAAACACCAATTTCTGCGCAGTTGAGTCCTTGTCAACGGAAAAATAGCCTGGGTTCACATAAACAAAACAAGCTCCGTGTCAGTCTAGTAACTTAGTAACTCGTCCCACAAGTTGAGACTTGTTAGAGGGTCTCATGCAAGTTTTCTTTTCATCCAATGAACCTTGCATCAAACCGGCAGAACTGGTCGGGGTTAACATGATGAGGATCAAGAGACAGCCGTGTCGGCTACTCCAATACTCCCTCCATTCTGATTTAGTTGTTCACTTTCTTGTTGGAGTTACTCTGTAGTCTCGAATTACTTGTCCATTTTCTATATTCAATAAAAATTCATGACGAATTCTCTAAAATGTTCTAGAGATAGAGGGTATGACTTATGAGCATTGTTGATATGAGTGAGGAACAAAGTCGTTTGAAGAGACTTGTGACATTTTTAAAATCATTTATTAAAATGATATTTTTTAGAAAGTGGACAACTAAATCCAGACGGGAGCATTATGTTAGTCGTAAAAAATGATAACAGTCGAAGTTAATAAAAGGAGCGGGTAAAAGCAAAAAACTGAGCAGGTAAAAGCAAAAAACTTGCAGCAGGTAAGTTAAAGATCAAATGACGGGAATATCAAGATCTTTCAAGCATAAACATGAAGGGAGCAAGAACCTACCAAGCCTTTCGAACTGAAATTTATCTCCAACTGCCGCATTGCATAGTGAAGGAACTGCATACGCGTTTGGCATCACAACTTTGGACTGTGGATTTAAATCATCAAGCCAATTATCAAGTTCACCGGGGTTCTGGTAAAGACAAAGACATTGAAATTATCAAACACGGCAAAGACAAGTAAAAAAGGTAAACCCAAGGTACTCTCTCCTTTCCGCAAAGATAAGTTTGCATTTACTTTTGCGCGGATTAAGAAATACGGAGTAATAGGTCATTTAATTAAAAATAAAACTTCGCCTCTAGTTTCCATATAAGCTTCAGTGTATCATTAATGATAGAACGAGCATTTTTTAGGTAGTTAATGTGAAGTAATATCAAGACACACTAATTATGACATGTATGAAAACAAAGAGTAATGACAGGCACAATATTGTAAGTAGACTATTTTGTGAATGGACTAAAAAAGAATAGTAGACAATCCATGTGGGGTGGAGGGTGTGCTTTTTTCTATTGAAAAAAACTGTTCCATGTTAGAGAAGAAATATGTTAACAAACCTCAGAAAGGAACAATTTCTCAAACAATCTCACTTCGGCCTTAAGTGGATTTACTCCAGGTGATGGTTCAGCAACCCAATGAAGAACCCCCTACAAATGTAATTTTAAGAATTTTAGAGCTGAGAAAGAATGTTAATTCTCAAAATACAGATTAATACAACATTTTTTTGCAAAAACGTCTTGAAAATTTCAACTTTAGTAACTCCACCTTTGGTTTGACTGCCTTGGATGGATCATACTCTGCCCGAAGCTCAATAACAGTCTCTTTATCGTCACCCAAAATTACTTCTGTGCACTTGATAGGAAAGGCATACCTGCAAAATAAATATGTTTCATTGTGGTGTTGATTAAATGTGGCTAAAAACCTTCAACTACTTTGAATCGAGATAATGGCACCTGAGAAGCACAAATTTCCCAGGAGCAAGACCATAATAATCTTTGGAGTCCTTCATCCTAAAATCAGAATGCTCAATGTATATAACCTTGGAAAAGGGAACCTGCAAATAAAGCACAAATAATGCTTCATTAAGAGACCAATATATTCAAGGCATTATCAATTCTCAGCTCATACATTGGGAGGAGGGGGGGGGGGTCTGCATACTAGCATTGATTTACATATGGGATTACTTTGTAAAGAGATGAAGAGTTATCCATTTGTGCATCAGGCCATCTCTTTGCGTCAAGATCCAGCACTAAGCCATCGTCCATATTTGTTATAACCACCTGATATTTAACCCAACTAAAAAACATCAGTATATGTACTATTATGTGTTTGTGTGTAATTTAAGAATAACTGGGAACTTGCATAGTAGTGCACAAACCTTTAGTGGATTAAGGACAACCATTGCTCTAGGTGCTGTTTTATTTAGTTCTTCTCTAATATGATGCTCAAGACGATCCAAACGTATCACACTGTGGTCACTGCAGGAATACTATTATCAGTATCACTTGCCCAAATGATACAGAACAAAATTCACATGTTAATTATACGTTTAATGCTTGCAACCTCGGACGCACTATAATGTGAATCTCACCTTCTAGTGATCCCAATTCCACGAACAAAATCATTAATTGCAGTTGGAGTCACACCTCTACGGCCCAATCCAGCTAGAGTCATAAGACGAGGATCATCCCACCCATCAACCCATTTTTCAGTTACAAGACGGTTTAACTAGAGAGGGCAAAAGGGTGGTCAATTACTAATCCATTAAAAGATGTTGTAGAGCCAACATAGTACTGCATCAACATTTAAGATTCAAATCTACCTTACGCTTAGACATCACATTGTTAGTTATGTTCAGACGTGAGTACTCCCATACAAAAGGTTTGTAGAGACCTAGAGCATCCAATAACCAATAATATGAAGCACGGCGGATCTCAAATTCAAGAGTGCATAGCTGCAAAAAAAAATATCCATTTCCGTACATCAAATAATCAACCAGTATGACCAAATACTGTCAACAACCCTGTGGCTCATAATGTGATAAAAGTAGTCGCCAAAAACTTATTAACTTATAACGATGACATCATATATATCGACCATATATGTTGAAAAACCAAGTAATTTATAAAAATTCTAAATATCATATGATATCAACAGCCAATACGTCAAGAATCATAACCCTTTAATCATCAGACGTAAAATTATGTCAAAGATTCATAGGATTATTGCTTGCTCTACAATGAGCTACAGGTCTAGCCTCCCTTGAATAATTTTATTGCACGCTGATCTTCTCCCTTCTAAAGGAGTAAACAAAAACACTGTGACACACAAAAAGAGTATAATGCTGATACATTGAACCACACTTTAAGTGCACACACATCATGCCAAGATAGTAGAGTTATTTAAGTTTCAACTATTCAAAATTGCTGCAAAATAGGAGACAAGGTGTGATCTTGGTTATATTGTTCTCCCCTTTAGTTCCTGGTTCATGCATCATCTTTTACCATTACACAAACATGTGCGAAATGTGTGTGCATGTGTGTATGCACGGGGACAGGCACATTCATGCATTTAACTAACCACTTGTGTATTGGATGTACCCATTTATGAAAGAACGCACACAAAACCACATGATAGAAAGCAGAAAAGTACACACTATCGACTATACAGATCAGAATTCAAAAAAAGGATGCATTGAGATACATTATTTTTCTTTATTGTTTAAATTTTTAGACAAGACACATAATTTCCAATGCAAATTCAGAAATCTGATGAGCATATATAGGGAAACTGAAATATCATCAAATTCAAAAAGTAACACTGACATACCGAATGAGTAACGTTTTCAAGAGAATCGACTATGCAATGGGCGTAATCATAACTTGGATAGATGCACCATTTATCCCCCGCATGTGGGTGTGGAGTGAACTGGAGATACCATATAGTTAATATCAGTAACTAACACATGTTTGCAGAAATTCAAGGTCATCCCAAAAAGTACTTGCCTTAATACGATAAGCGATCAAGTCATACATGTTTGGATTATCACTTTGCATGTCCTGTTTCATCCGTAGTGTTGCTTTTCCCTCTTCAATCATGCCACGCTTCATTTCATCAAACAGTCTTAAAGATTCTTCGACTGGCCGATCTCTCCATGGGCTATTGATTTTTTTCTCCCTGTACTCTTTTATCTCTTCAGGCGTCTGTTTAAATAGAAAGGTAAATCAACCATGGGGTCTTCTGAGTATATCATTCCAAACCAAAGTAGAAGTCAACAATGATGATTTTTACAAAGGTATGTGGACATCTGAAGTTCCTTGTTTTAGACCCAGTATGTATTTTAGTTCCAAACATCAGAATTAAAACATTGAACAGTGACACACAAATACAAACCCATTAAAAACACAACCAGTTAAGGTTGATGGCATTAAATCTGTAGCGCCAACCAATTAAATAAAATTACTCGGTAATTAACAATAAACTCATGCAAGTAAAACATAGTGACAATGTTTTACGCCAGATGCCCTTCCTGACGCAACCTTCTTAATCTAAAAAGGATATGATTTTACACAAAATTACCTGGTGATCAACATAAGCATGGTCATTTTGTATCAATGCCACAGCAAGCTCATAAAGTTCTTGAAAATAGTCACTAGTGTAAGTAATCTGCAAAAGGCAAGCAACAGTAAGAAATACATAGCACGCTGTAAATTAACAGTTTTGTATTGAAATTTTACCTTAAAGGGTTCCCATCCCATCCATCTTACAATTTCTTCAATATGATCAATATACTCTTTCTTTTCAGCTTCCGGATTGGTGTCATCATACCTAGGGAGACAAGAAATAAATTCAATGACAAAAGCTGACAGAAGTATGTCACCAATACCAACAAAGATATACCAATATAAGGTGGAAAGACATAGAGATAGACAGACACATGGGAGAGAGAGAGAGAGAGCAAATGGAAAAGGAATCTCACCTCAAATAGCAGCATCCACCTCGCTCTTTTGCCAATCCAAAATCAATAAACATTGCCTGTTTAATTATCAGACATTTTTATTTAAGTAAAAAAATGCAAGTGAATAGCTAATTGGTATTGGTATTTTAACAAATCTATAACCTTGGCATGGCCTATGTGTAGATATCCATTTGGCTCAGGAGGAAACCGTGTAAAAACTTTTCCACCAGTTGCTTTCAAATGCTTTTCAAGTAGTTCCTTTGTATTGCATACTCTACGGATAGGCCTGTCACTGAAGTATATTTCTGTGTGTACCTGGTATAGGTACATAGTTATTTACAGAAATAAAATGTCTGAAAAAAATATTACTATAGCATGAAGGTGCTTGAAGTTAACATATTGACAACTGCTATCTTTGAATTAACGTGACCCCTATCCCCAGCCAAACACGCAACTGCTATCTTTGGATTAACTCATTATCATCATTATAAGAACCTTAAACTCAACTTGTTGAGATCAGTGGCATACTTTTAAAGAGCCAATCAATTGTATCGAGTAAATTAATACTGTGAATTCAAGCATAAAGCATAGTGGAAATGTATGAAAATTTTAAATCATTATCTTACAAAAATAACACCAAAATAGGTATAATCCCAACTCTGATGGAGTCAAACCCAGCAAAAACAGAGAGGTTTTCATTAGACCATTGGTGCATTGCTGGATTTACCGCCCAAAACTTCATAGAAAGTAAGAAGGAAGAAAAGTTCAATGTGCCTTTTTATTTAGTCCATTATTTACCCAAAGCTAAAGCATTGTCAAAATGACTCTTTTAGATCCATTGGGAATGGACACTTGGTTGTTTCGAAATGAATGGAAAATATCCTGTGCTAGTGTGATGGCAAGAGTTGAGATACAGATACTTTGTGTTGCCATGTTTCATTACAAGATTGATATTGTCAAAACAAGCTCAAGACTATTATCAAAATAAAAATATGGCATGATTGCAAAGTAATGAAGCATGCAGAACTTAACAACCTTGTAGTTTTCCTCTGGGGATGGAAAAATTGAAAATGGATTAATTTCATCCTCGGATGGACTCGGTGCAGGCACCTCCTCTGTACTAGCTTTTCTCTGAGACGGAGAGCACATAATAAGGATAAGAATGTGTTATTTAAGTTATATAAACCCTCAAATAATAAAAGTTTCAAAGTAGCTTGAACCTCAACTTTGGCAGGCTTTTCTTTCTTCTTCTTAACAGGTTTCTCATCATCTTCAGCAGTTCTTTCTCCAAGTAATGCAACCAATTTTGCATCTATAAGTTGCTGTGATAATAAAACAAACATTAAAGATTTACAGACAGATCAAGTATTATAGCATACACATTGCACAGGGCATGCCAAGAGGATCATTCAACTAGCATCAAGATTGAAATCACAAGTCCTTCACAAATTTCTCTTTTCAAATTAATGTTTAAAATGGCATTGCGCAATAAGCCATATTGCCCGCATCATCTATTACGGAAGAAAAACGCCTTGTGGCAATCTAGCCATGGGCCATATGGGTTTCTCAGTTATGGCGCAAGAAGGCTAGGCAATACATGAGACAGAAGGAGGCGTACACCATTTCTAAGAAAAAAATTAAGATTAATTTTAAATTAGTAATTTAATTAGAAAAATGTAAGCGTTAAACTACTAAACCCTATTTTATCAATGTCTCCAATCTCTACTCTGGTCTTACGTCTATGTAGCATAGAAACGGAGACGGGAACGGAGACGAGACGAAACGGAGACGCCGAGACGGCTATTTTGAAAAAATGGGGAGACGAAACGCCGGGGAGACGGTATATATATATATATATATATATATATATATATATTACTCTTTCTATCCCACATAAATTTTTCTACGTGTGTAGTATTTTATTTGGATCATGTATATCTAATATTGAGAAAAAACACAAGAATTAAATCTAAGGCCCACGTAGGGATAGAAGCCCAAATATTAGATCAGGGAAGTGTTAGGTTATGGAGCCTGATGCTTAATGATTAAGTTTGCTTAATGGTTAAGTTTACTTAATGGCAAAGTTTACTTAATGGCTAAGCTTTCTTAATGGTTAAGTTTACTTAATGGCTAAGTTTGCTTAATGACTAAGTTTTCTTAATGGTTAAGTAAGTAGAGGTTGTAATGCCTATATATATTCTCCTTTGTAGCTAATTTTTGTAGAGAGGCAAG